AATCAAAGAATTACCGTATGAGGGACTGATGTCACAGGTTTAGCAATCCTGCGGACCCCAGCTGGTAGCCCCTGCCTCAAAGGGGGCTTGGAGTTGGTCACCGGCTTTTAGGCGTAGGAATCACCCAAGGGAAGGGCAGACAGGGCTCTTAGCTGCAGTGAAGGCAACCGGTCTAGGAGAGGCAACTCCGAAATCAAACCCTGGTCCTCCAGCGGCCCGATTATTGAAACTATGTCAGCCCGACACGACAAGACATAGCCCTATCTCACCCATGCAATATATCGCAATTCGATGTCTTATCGGCCTGGTTTAAATTTCAATAATCGGCCCGCTGGTTGGGGGTTGAGTCATCGGGCTAACTCCCCGACACTCGGAAAAAGAAAAACTGTTAAAAGACCCAACAATTGCCTCGGTACAAACGGAAATAAACGGATTTATCGGAAAAAATTACGAAAAAGGATGATGGTTTTTGGAACTTGGAATATACAAGGAATTTCTACAAAAATGACGGAAGTGGTATCGGAGATAGGGAGTCACGGATTTGATGTCGCAGTATTAACGGAAACAAAGAAAAAAGGACAAGGCTCTGTAAGTGTAAATGACTACGATTTGTTTTATAGCTCTGGGAGGATAGGGAGCAATGGCGATTGGGCGTCGCAGAGCACGAGGCGGCGCTATAAAAGCGGCTTTATGTATGTATGTATCAAAGAATTCATTGCGTGGACATATGAGTGAAAAATTCGAGCTCGTATTGGTTTTTCGTGTGAAATCTTGAAATAAACCATGGCTACGTACTGATTTTAGCGTTAGGTTACGGAACTCTAGTCTCTTGCTTCCCCTGAATTATCGGATGAACTGGACACGACGGAAGTATTTTTGCGTGGGGATCGTCATCACACGTTACGGCAAAGGTGGAACGGGAATACTAATATTTTCAAGGTGACGAGTCGCGTCGCGTCGGATTCGAGAGGCTAGAGCCTTTATAGCCTAAATCCCCGCTTCTTCAGTTGCGCCGTGCCATACGGAATCACGTACTCCCCCCCCCCCCCCCNTTCAACTCGGTAGCCCCACAACTCCTCTCCCTCTGGTTAAGTCTCTGGAGACAAAATAAGATTGAACACGGTCAGCAGCTTTTCTTTTCACGACCGCCCCAACCACAATTTCACTTCATATTTATCATCTTCGGGGCATTTAAGTTTAAAAAAGGCGTCCATCCGAGAAGTTAATCGCCTGCATTTACAGCGAAAAGCTCTCTGATCTTCAAGAACGCGCGCGTGTAAAGGTATGTCAAAACCGAATCAGTGAGCATCTTTGGAACGAGGCAACTTCCAAAGGAATATTTTGAGTCCGATACTACCTACCTACTTTTTTTAACTCAGCGTATAGAGCCCCTCAAGCATTGGGAATGTTCCGAACAATTTTCGTAACGACCCTTTTCACTCCAAGATACACTTTGAATACATGAATGATCACACCAANTAATAAAAGTTAAAAAGCAGCGAAAATCGGCAATTCCTAATATTTTCTGTAATGTATACCGTCGACCGACGGTTATCGGGTTATCGCCCCGCGTGTGTGTGGTTGCTGCAGAGTCGTTTGAAGGCGTTTTCCGGTCTTACTCTGGGAGGTTTTATTTGGTTGTTCTCCTTATATTTATATTTTTAGCTTGGCGGGGAGATCTACCGATCTCCGTGATATTGCGTAGAATGAAAATGCCTCTCCAAAAATCACACGACTCTTAAAGACTCTGTTTTCTATTTTCTGTGTAAGTACGCGTTTAAAGACAAAATCTCGTGATATTGCGGCTCCGCCAGTTCGCAGTCAAATTAAAGTGATAATTTAAAGCTATGAACCTACGCTGTCGTGCTGAGGAAGAACGCTGTATGACCATTCAGAGGTCACCAGATTTCCTTCAATAAAAGACGAATTTACGGGGAAAATTGTGAATATTTGTCTTCAGTTTTTCAGACAATTTTGTTGGGAATTACATATAAAATACCTAGAAATTCCAAGAAAAAATATGAATAGCTTCCTCAAAAATGTATGTTTAATCCGGGGAAATTTGGCAACTCTTGAAAATTCATACGTGGTTTTCCGTCAGCACGGCAATATGCGCGTTAAGGGCACTTTGATTTCAGGCAGGCGAAGATAATATAGCATAGGACTGGTCGAGTAGGTATGAACATATTAGATTGAACTTTGAGCTTTGCCTTTGATAGACAAAAAAAAAAAAAAAACGGATTATCCGAGCATTCTCTAAGAGCCTCGCAAACTGTTATTACCCATCGTTTCTAATTTCAAAATGGATTTTGCACCAGTGCCTGTCCTGACTATGCTTTCTCACAATCTCAATAAAAAAAACAAGGGAGGCATTTTTACTTCCAATAGCATCATTCCGTAGCTCGCTGCGCAGTTATCAAACCCATTAAAAAAAACAATAATGAGAAATCTTTATTTTTCCTCGTCCCATCTCGCAGTTCCTGATTATCGAGCATTACTGCCGCGCTAAGGGAAAACGCCGTATGAACATTCGAGAGTTGCCAAACTTTCTCGGATAAAATGATCATTTTTGAGGGTAATCATGAATGTTTTTCATTGCAATTTCCAGATACTGTAGTGTGAATTCCGAAAAGAATTCTGCGAAAAATGGAAGAAAAAATGCCCTCAAGATTCTTGGCAAACTCGCATTTTATCAAAGGAAATTTGGCAACGCCTGAGGGCTTATACGGCGTTATTCCTTGGCACGGCAGATTATGTTCCCGCATTTTTCCTCGCTACGAACCAATAATCAAAGAGGTAGTTTGTTGCTCGACTCTAAGCGACTAAGCATGCACGCAAGACAACGAACTAACCGTAAGTCAGTCTTGCGTCAATGCGTAACGGTAAGGGCGTTGAAATTAAGACGAGGTATTTTCTAAAAAATGAAAATATGCGGTTGGTATGGTGCGATTTGAGGGTTCCCTTCGAAAAAAATGCGCTGAATATAGTTTCATTGGCGGGGAAAGTTGAGAAACACGCACCACGATTGCGGCGTTTTGAAACCTCCGCTTGAGCTTCATTTTTTTGAAAGAAAACGAATGGACGCTCCTATTCTAAATGTTTACAGAATAATCTATTCAGAGAGCAGAAAAATCAATACCTAACGCAACTTTCGCACCTTTGAAAAAATAAATTGTTGCGAGAGGTTCGCAATGTCTCAAATCGAGATACGTGCATTTTCGAATTTTCATCATAAAAATGAAAAGTATGTCATTTTTGAGACACTTCAGATGATTGCTATTAATGCCAAGTAAAATTCGTTTCAAGTTCTTTTTGGACGAAATGAAATTTGGAGCTCATTTTTCCACCTCCATATTTGCTTTTAAGCTTTGAGTATTTGTGTTATTAGCTTCCGAATTTTATTAATATTTATTTATTTATTTATTTTAACTTCAATAAATTAACTTTTTCTAAAAAATCAAAAAGAAAAGTTTTCCGATCCTTTCTCTTTGCCTGTATAACATGTATAGAAACACAAAAATCAAATTGCCCCCTAGCTGCAATCGCCCTTGAAATTTTTCCGTTTAATTTAAAAAACGAAGTGGCTATTCGTCGGTACGGTACCGACGGATAAATGGCTATTCGTCGGTACCGTACCGATGAATAAATAGCTATTCGTCGGTACCGTACCGATGAATAAATAGCTATTCGTCGGTACCGTACTTTGATTTTAGTACGTAAATTATATTATAGATATGATTTCTTAATAATATTTTGGTGGAAGTTAAGAGCTAAAAATTGGGTGAAAGATGGAAAAAAACCCAACACGAGTTGTAAAGAAATATTCTCCAAATTTAATTTATGTATTTAATACTCTCACATAATACTGAAATGTACTACTCTGTAGTCATCATCAAGAACGCTTCTTTTTTCGGGTGGTGGTGGTGGGGCCTTTAGTTTCATTTGCAGATGTTTTCTTTCGTTTTCGTTTTTCGGGGGGATTTTCCACAGATTGTCGGTCGGCAACGGTGCGATTAAAGGAACAAAGTTGTTTTGCTGGCAGTTTAGGTCGCCCTCGTGAAATGACTTTACTCTTAAATTTTAGCTTCGTGAAGCTCTCTGCACTGACATTTTCGTCAGATGGAGCAGCAACAGAAACCGAAGATTCGCTAGTGGTGGAATAGCTCTCTGCACTATGATCGTTGTTAGTTGGGGCAGCAACAGAAACCGAAGATTCTCTGGTGGTGGAATAGCTCTCTGCACTATGATCGTTGTTAGTTGGGGCAGCGACAGATACTGAAGATTCGCAAGCCGTGGAGCAGCTACCATGAACTGACAATAGTTGTACATTTATTCCAGTCCTTACCATGTTATCAATCATCTTGAATGAACTTAAATAACTGTTGAATTGCGTGCTTCCGTGGTTTGAGGTTAGGCTAGCAATGATTAAAACAATGGGCAGAATCATTTTGTACTTTTCACGCACACTTAGTGCCTTTACACTTTGTTCACTCTTCTTCAAATCTCCAGAAAAACCATCAGAAAATTCTTCCAACAGTGCATCAACCTCTGGGCATTCTGTATCTAAGCTACCATTCTTCGGTACCGACGAATAGCCATTTATTCATCGGTACGGTACCGACGAATAGCCATTTATCCGTCGGTACCGTACCGACGAATAGCCTCATCCTTTAAAAAAAACTTTCCGATTTCATGTAGAGAACCCTGAAATTTCTCATGAAAATTTCGTGAAACTCGAAACTCTCCTACCTCATGAAATTGTCCTTCTCGGCCCTCTGGACAAACTGTCGACACTCGCCTCTCAGTCGTGGAGCGTGAGCGGAAAAAAGGATCGTAACATGGACATGTTTTTTCGACTGGAGCTTCATAGCATGTCGATTGTCGAGCCTCATAGCTAATTTTGAATTTTGCCTCGGCTGCGGGAAAAATTATATAGGGTATATATACTGGGTTCTTGGTGAGGATGGATTCTAATTTTGTCAACCTTTGGTTTGTTTCAGTCAAGAGAATTACCGAAGTCCGTGGCAGTGGACGACACCAGTGAGCGTTTCGAGCGAATGAAATGGGGCGATCGGTGACCAAAGACATTGTTGGTGACCTGCTTTGCGATCGGCGAGCTGCTTTCGTCAAGACTAATGGAGCTTCCTCTCCCCCACACTGCTGCAGACTTGTTTCCTCTGTTGAACCCACTCTCATCAATTCATCATCATCGTCATGCATCATCCTCATCGTTGTCGTTTTCATCCTCATTCTTTGAAAATATTAGTATTCTTTGAGTTTATTTTCTATTTTCATTTCTCTTTCTATTGTTGCCCTGTGTTTTTACTCATATATCTCTTTTAGTGAGTCTACTCCACGCGATGTTGATGTTTGTTATTATTTGTTTAATTAACTAAGTTGTCTTATTTTTAAGTTATCCATCATTTCTGTACCTAAGTAGTATTTATAATTAATTTAAATCATAGCACCAGTGTATGATGCCCGGTGGCGTTGCTAAATTGTTCCTGATGAAGAACCTGGTTGGCTCCTGCCAAAGGAGCACATTTTACAACCCCTCCCACCCCAGCTCCCACCTCCACTTACTTATATTTCTTTCTCAGTATCCGCCGCCGTCCCTCCATTCTCATCTTAAAAAACTATTGTTTTGAAAAAGTCCATACAACTATTTCCTCCAACGGCCATGTCCGCTAAGTAAGAAGCTCCAATCTTAATTCCTTACTTAGAATGCATAATTTATACTTAATTCATATGCGTCTTTGATAAAGATTTTTATTAAAAGTTATAGCACAGACTGAGCTGAAGACAATCATTCTTTAATAATGGGATTCAGTACGTCTAAAAAAAAATACGATCAATATAGTGTCTACGCGGAACTTACTTGGGGCACGCATTTTTAAATACCTAGTACTTAAAATCCGTCTCATGCTCATAATGAAACGCATCGGTCTACATTCTTCTCTCAGTTTTAAAAATATTTTCCTTCACCCCCCCCCCCAAAAAAAAGAGCGAGAGAAAAAATAGAGAGGCTACTTGCAGTTTAAAAAGTACATTCGACTGAGGCAATACATTTTTTGAGGTAAATGCTCATTCAACGAATGGTTCTGATTTGTCCTTCCCTTTCAAAGACTTGTCAACACACGTTATTCACTACTTACGAATAAAATTTCATTGACCTTCTATTGTGTAGAAATCACCGCTAGGTACGTACATACCGTGCGCATGTATACGCATACAGAGCTATAATCCAGCGGACATTATATAGGCCCTCCTTTCCCGATTTTGTCCAAACAAAAGTCTCCTTCCTTGGTATCGAGAGGAAAATAAAAGAAGAAAAACGAAATTCCTCCTCTTACCCATAGCTTATCCTTACGCATAGCAACGCCCAAATACGATATTTTCTCTAATAAATACATCTAAAGTATGACGTGAGAATATTTTGTGATTAGCTAGTAAGTAATTGCCATTCTAGTCGCATCTTGATGATTGTGTGCTGCGAATTAAATTTAAATTGAAAGCGAAAATTAGGTAGGTATAAAAAGCTTCTAAGTTTACGCTTATGATCAAAATGTACTGTGTCTGTCGCAGGTTTTATGCTAACAGTCAAATGAGCGCAATGAAAAATTATTTGCCACAGGTTCTCATTTGAAAATCTATTTTCAGCCATGATTTTCTAAGAAAGAAAAAAAGAAAAAAATTAAAGAGGATTATGGAGAGGGAGTTTAGATTAAAATTCCTGGGTGCTCTCGAAAAGTTCCTTGAATGAAAATCTCATCAAGAAATCCTCTTGAGTCTTAATCTTTCGCTTCGATCACTAAATCGATGGTGGAATCATGAAAATATACGTCTCTGTTTGCTTCATGGCTAACTTTCCGTCCCACTTCATTCTGATGCAGGGAAACCGACCGATGTTTTTCCTTCTCAGTTCGGCATGATTTTTCTTAGAAGTCTTCTAAAAAATGTGTGAGCAAAAATATAATTTTTTTTTTTTTTTTTTTTTTTTTTTTTTTTTTTTTTTTTGAGATAGTGAAGCAAGAGCGGAACAATTGAAAGGCAGCCATCGCGATCGAAATATGTTTCTAGCTTCACAGTCGATGAGCATCGAGTAATCGAGATGGAAACCTTGTTTTCACTCTAGGGATCGCTTGTTTTCACCCTATGCAATGGGAGCCAACGAAAAGTGTAAACCCCTTCTGTGTTGTTTCTTGTTGTGAGTGCGCGAGCACTCGCGCGCGTGTTCTTATAATATCATCACGATCAAAAAGAATAATCCACCCCTTTATCTACCTATTTAGGGTTCCAAAAGCTCCCTAGAAGTTTCGCCCAATTAATGACTTACCTCCTCCATTTTTCGAGGGATCACGAGACAGGGTTCAGGGTTCAGGGTCAAAACTCGCGCATCGTACCTACTTGCTTTCTTATCAAAATCTTACGTAGATTGCGATAAGAACTTGGATAGTATCCAAAAAAACATGCAAGTGAAAAGCGGACGTTCATCTTGTCCGTAGATTGAAACGTCTCGCGTTCAGAGAACAACCTTTACACACTTGAGTCAAAACGCGTGCCTCATGAACCCATCCATTTAAGATGACAGTAAGGGTAGCGGGATCTTCATCAAATATTCATAATCTGGGCCATTGCCGCGCGCAGCATTAGGAGAAAGAAACACGGATCCAAACGGACGACGCCCTCAGTTAACTGATTATGCAATTCCAACTGCTCACAAGTTGAGCTTTTAGTTTTAATCGTCCTCACCTGCATTTTCGCTTTGCGTCCTAATAGTTCTCTCAAAATGCTCCTTTTAATTTCCCTGAATTTTTGTCCACATGAGTTAATGAATAAATGCTTGTAACAAAATAGTGAGGAGAGTTTTGTAAACGTTACGTAATGGTTTGTTAATGCTACAATTATAAGCAAATTCGTCTTTATGACCGATTTGACTCACCGACGGTGAAACTACCAGACCACGTATATCAGTTTGCGACGTAGCAGACTTCCTGCCATATTTTATTTTTTAATCGGATAATTACTCAACTCCAATTCTTAAGAACCTCCGTGATTTTTCTTCCCTGTGCGAGAAAAATTCGGTGAAAATTTCAAGGAATCATACTGATTTGTTCTCCTTAAAAAAAAATAGAATGAGAGCGGAGTTCTTTAAACACCGCAAACGAGACACGTGGTTTGGTAATTTCACCGTCATTATGCTGCTTTTTGTTTGACCGTAGGTAGAAAGACTAATCGTAATACACTGAAAGCGCCCCCCCCCCCATTAGGGCGTAACTCTATTTTAAATTATACTATCGCAATTTTGTACCTGTACGTTTTCCGTATTCTGCTAGAGATTTTGGTGCGGCAACAGGCAACACCGCACCAGCGTCATGTCTTGAGATCGTTCGGCCCTTTACCCTGTCTAGCGATCGTTTCGGTCATCCTTTAGGCACAGCTCTGACCTAATATGAGAGAGTATGCTGATCTTAGCCCATAAAACAGCATTGGAGGATAGCAGCTCTTGATAGATATGTACGTATACGTAGAATCTAAAATAATAGCCTACAGGCGGGCAGAAAAGTAAACGGATACACCAAAAAAATCCCTGATAAGAAACCATCATTGAATAACCTTCATATCTATTATATACTCATATCTATTACAATTATTTAAATTGAAGGACAAATTTTGTACATGGTACGGCTGGATTCCCGGGACAACTGCATGTTGCATGCCTCTTGGGCGATTGTAGATAGAGAGTTGAAATTTCGGACACCTCCAATATGATGGGTGTGTATATCGACTGTAAAACTCCCAAACTACGTAACTCGTTTGCAGTGTCTTAATACCTACGCTGCAATTTTCCTTTTTTAAAAGAGGACAAATCAAAAAGGTTTCCTAAGTTTTCACCGATTTTTTTTCGCATCGAGGAAAAAAAAATCGGAGAACTTTCGAAAAATTGACGTTGAGTAGTGTTCCATTTAAAAAATGAAGTGTGACAGGAAGTTGCAAAGCCACAAATCGAGATGCGTGTTTGAGAGTTTCATGAACGTCGATATGTTTTCTAACAACAATGGACTGTTCTTGGGAGAGTATAAATCTCCCTCCCCTCCGTCCAAGGAATTCCTGGATCTTTTAATTTTTTCTATTCTGAATGCGACAATGATCCCCTCTCGGACGTCAGAAAGTGTGAGAAAAACGGAAAATTTCAACGGGAATCAGAATGAGGAGAAACTTATGACACGACCGAAATTTCAACCAGATAACTACAATCGTGATTGAGGTCAGTGTCTCTGCCGCACCCTTTACCCAAATCCACCAAACAGTAATAATAAGTAACAATAGACGAGACAAATCAAATATACAGATATTATCAAAGAACACATTTGTAAGGAGTTCTCATATTGATCACAATGAATAATGAACAGATCAAATGCAACAAGCTAAACCACTAATTTGTAGTATTTCTATGAAATATCTCCTATGCGTATAAATATACGTTTCCTTAAAATACCTGAAAAAATTTCTACTTCAGTTTATCACTTTTGTCCAGATACAGTTCTAATTGATGAGGAGTAGCAGAGGATTTTTGTTGGAAAAATAGATTATAACCTTTGCTGCCTATAAGGTGGAGTTTTCCTTAGAGCACTACACTACAATGTTGCGTTGCAATTTTAATGGAGTAATTGAATTCTGACTGTGGTCTTTGCCTTCCTACTCATTGTCAAAAGATTAGATTGAGAACTGTCGGGCCCACTGGGTCCTTTCTGTGGCTACTTTTGGAGCTAATAATTATAGGAATTCTCGAAAGTGCATCTTATAAATTTACATCATAGATTCAGAGGATGTATGTATTAATTAGGTATCACTTTTTAGAGATAGCGCATGAGGGAGTAGACTTTCTAAAAGAGTGACTGTTGTGACTTTAGTCAGCAAACTTAGTTTAATATATTCTATTGATTGATTTTATTGTTATTTATTTCATTTAATTTCGATTAAGTTTCAAATTATGTTATCAAGCAACGGTAGATATTCACTATTAGTTTGTTTAAATTATTTTTGTATGTAATATTATGTGATCATTCCTAATCGTGTAAATAAACAAGTCATTTAATTGAAATTTTGTGGCTCCTTCATTTTGCTCAATACTCACATAGTACCTACAAAAACAACTTCGAGAGCAAGATTGCTAATAGTACAAAATTTCTAGTGGCAATAACTGCTGAAAAAATAAATAAAATTTGACAAACTCTGAAAAGCTATGATTACAATAATGTTTAGAAAACCTTATGAAGCATTTTTGGAGCAAAATTTACTGAGGACTTTAAGCAGAGGAAGGATTAGAAATCTCTAAAAAAGATTCATTGCGATTTGTTTCCACTTAAAATTTCTGAGAAATAAAGTTAAAATTTCTTTAAAAAATTGCAGTTTCTTTACTTAAGACTCGTTCAGGATAATTTTTCTTTACAAAATTTTGTACAAGGGTTTCCTAAAACGTACTTTTAAAGTTTTTTAGAGTTTTTGATAGTAGCTTTTTCACTATTGTTATTATTGGGCATTACATGGAATATTGCTGCAAGTTTTGGAGCTTGGTATGAGGTTGTCATTCTGCTCTCTGTTCCAAAGAGAACAGCAAGCTTCCAAAAACGATTCACAGAAAGTTCGTAGAGAGGCTTTTTGTCAAACTCACTGCGAGATACATTGTACTGCAGAAAACATTTACTTATTTCTCTTGTTCATAAAATGGTATCATTGCTACATGCTAAATGTCATGTTATACTTATTTCTTCAATCCTGCAGAATGGTTCATCTCAGGGTCTGCAGTAATATCATTCATCTGTAACTTTTAAGTGCAACATATCCGGGAGTGTTCTGGAAACAATGATAAAATATCCGAGAAAATTGTACAAAATAATACATTTTATTAACATAAAAAATCATGGAAAGCTTATAAATTACTCACATCAATCACGCATACTTTTTCCTCTTTCCCTTAACATTTTCAGTCTCAGTTTCATACTCAATTTCTATTTGTTTTCGGCCTTTAGATTTTTTAGGGGTGGGCATCTTGCTGGTAGAAGCTTTCTCAATAACATCCTGAAAGATAAGACATTAAATCAGTTAATTAATCAAGATACGTAAAGGCTGCGGGCACTATAAGTATTTGGGGGTGCGATTGACCCAGCATGGAAGAATGGATCAAGCGATTACGGAAAGAAACACCCTGGCAAGGAAGGCTACAGCGATGTTAAATGGAATCCTCTGGGATCCGTGGATTTCCGAAGAGAACAAGAGAAGAATTTACAACTTAGTAGTCAAAAGTATTCTTATATACGGATGTGAAGTTTAGCAGCTAAAGCAACAGACATAGGGGATGCTAAGAGCAATGGAGATGGATTTCTGGAGGATGTCTGCAGGAATTTCTAAGAGAGATCAGGTCCGCAATGAAAGAGTGCATTAGATCATGGGAGTCGAAAATGACATCATATTCGACGTCATGACGAAACAGCTTGCCTGGTATGGTCATGTCAATAGAATGATGGATGAAAGGCTGCCAAAGAAGTTGCTTAGTCAGGTTCCTCCTGCGAAGAGACGAAAGGGATGCCCAGTGAAAGGTTGGCGATAGGGAGTTTTGGAAGAAATAATGGTTTGCCAACTCCCTGAAGGGCTTTGGGATGATAGGGGACTTGGTCGGCTAGGTGTCGCAGAGCGCCAGAGAGCAATATAAAAGCGGCTTCATACATACACACAAAGATGCGTACACATGAGCCGATTTTACAGCACTATCTAATGCTCTGTGACACCTAGCCGCCACACTAGCCTATCCTCAAATACCTCTTCAGGGAATTGGCACTCTCTCATTCCTTGTAACCTCCTGTTGTCATCCTTTTTCCAAGTGTCCCCTTCGCCTCATTCCAGAGGAAACCCAATCAAGCATCTTCTAAGGCAGCCTTCTTTCTGATCTCCTGTTACCATGACCATAGCAGTCTAGCTGTTTGGTCATGATATGTAATACAAATAATTTTTGACTTCCATAATCTGACGCACTCTATCATTACGGACCCGATCTCTTCTAGAAATTCCTGCCAACCTCCTCCATAAATCCATCTGTGTTACTCATGGTATATTCTGTACCCATTTCTTCAGTTACCACACCTCATGCTTATATATTAAAATACTTTTTACTTCAGCAAAGTAAATTTTCCTCTAGTCCTCTTTCAAAATTCGCTGATCCCAGAGGATACCATTTAACAACCCTATAGCCTTCGATCCTAGGATGTTTTTTTCCTTGATAGCTTGTTCTGTCTTTCCATCCAGGGTCAATCATGCTCCCGTGTATTTATAATATGCACAGTCTTTCATCTGCTGCCCATCTTCCAACTCAAAGCTTTGCTGATCATCTCCTGAAGTCAGTTTCTAGGATTTGGATATACTGAATTCCGAGCCCCACTTCCGATACTCCTCTACCAACTGGGGTATCATGTACTTTGCGTCATCTTGATCTTCAGCGATCACCACTTGGTCATCAGCGGAGCATGAGGTTAACAAAATTTCAAAATCATTCGAGGGCACACCCATTCCACCACATGTTTTGTTCCATTCTTTCAGGATCAGTTACAGTTGCGGAGGAAAAAAAAGTCCTTTTAAAGAGCTTTATCAGGCAGTTTCAAGGGAATACAGAGTTTATTATGACAATTGTCACGACCTTTTCGAAATGAAAAAAGCTACGTATACACCATCAATGGCACTATCCAAAAGAAACAATTCGAGATTCAATTCCTATGCTTTGTTCAATGACCTCCCATCAGAACTTACTTGAGTAAGATGCAATTTTTAATAAAACGGAGTTATAAAAAACTGAGTTATAAAAAAAATCCATGCCTTGATTAATGTAATACTGTCTGTTAGAACCTTCCTCGACTTTTTCCAGATTTAAACTCTAACTTGAATATTCAGACTTTAAGTGTTGAATTTTCCATATCAATGGTGAAACTACCAGACCACGAATCTCAGTTAGCAATGTTGCAGACTTCCTGTCATACTTAATTTTTTAAATGGAAAAATACTCAACGTCAATTCCTGAAAACTTCCATGATTTTTCTTCTAACACGCACAAGGAAACACACAGGAAACGCTGTGAAAACTTCAAGGAATGATACTGATTGTTTCTCCTTCAAAAAAATAAAATGGAAGTGGAGATTTTTGAACACTGCAAACAAAATATGCTTCTAGTAGTTTCGCCGTCGATATAGTTCCTACCTACTTCTACTTCGGAGATAAAATCATCTTACAACAGTATTTACCTCAATATCACCATCTTCATCAGAAATTTCTATTTCATCTTCATCCAAAAATTCTCTTTCTTCCTCACTATCTTCTTCTGCTTCTTCTTCGCTTTCTCCTTCTACAAACTCGTCAGCTTCCTCTTCTTCTTCGAAATCTCCAACTTCGTCCTGAAACATTAATAATATAAATGAATAAACTAAGAGCTTATGTTGCCATAATGGTGGAACAATCAATGTTTTCTGGCAAAATGTACTAGCTGCAGGATTCTTCATTTTTCATTTGGGTATTGAGATGGGGGGGAAAAGTAACTTAAATACTGGAACAGCAGGATGTGGAATGGTACTGAGCCTGAGCTATTACTTTCTGGCGGAGAAATCAAAGCCAAAGAGAGAAAAAGGTAAAATTTGAGTGGCAATTAACTGAGGCGTTTCAGTGGAAGACTGAGAGGATAGGCTCTCTGGGTAGAACTGGGGAAAGAAAAGAAGAGACAAATGTCACATCCAAAAATTCCACCATTCAACAGATATTTACATGCTAACCAATGATCCAACTGATGATTGATGCATCCAGACTGTTGTGACTTTTGTCTCTTCTTTTCTTTCCCCAGTTCTACCTCTGTTTAAAAAAAAAAAATGTCTCCATCTCTTTTCCTGGGCAATTAAAGTTTTTTTGAGTGGGGGATTTGTAAAAAACTAAGATTTTCTCCAATGTTTGTGAAGCTAGGTAGTTGCAAATTTTACCCCTTGTTTAAGAATTTTGTTAAATTTGTAAAAAATAAAAAACTGTAACAAAAATTTCTCAAGTTTTAATACAGCTAGATACCTGGAATTGTTTTAAAAAGACCAGAATCCCTTCCTGTATTATGTCAATCTAATTTTTGACGGAAAATATTTTTTCCATACTTTTTCTTAGAAATTAATTTTTTCTTTGACCATTGACAGAATTGCTTTTTGTTCTTCTTTTTTCTTGAAAACCTCTTTTGGGATAATGGAAACCATGTCACGTATAAACAGTCCCTTCTGATAAATAAGGTAAGATAAAATTCTGGGCATTTGAAGAAGAAGGAAAAAAAAACACTGACAGCCTCTGGTTCAAAGAGAAATCGAGATATTTCTGTCAAGAAACTGAGAAAATTGCAAAATCTTTCAAAGCGGCTTGATATTGGAAGAGTTCACATACTATATCTTTCAACTTCAAATTTTTTTCAGGGGTCTTCCAAGCTAGATAACTAACATAGGTGGAATTAGGGGATGAAAAAGTGCCTATAGACTTGAGCTCAAAACAAAATCAATTTGCATAATAAAAATGAAGCATGCACTTGAGTCTTGCCTTTGCTGGATACTTGGGGACTAGCTGCCGTTTTTCACTCAGGGTAAGATATACATTCTTGCTCAGATTTGAACTCATGGTTGATTTATTGGGTTTGGGGTCAGTATTTAGAATAACAATACCTCTTTATCGTTTTCTTCATCACTTGTACCTTCACCTTCATCCACTTCACCATCATCAATCTCCTCTTCATCTAGAGCTTTGTCGAATGCTTTTTGAGGGAAATTGTAGATATCTCCATACTGAAAACGAATGCATGGCACGAATAAAATATGATAAAAAAAAAAACAACAACAACAAATCATACCAAAATGAAATACATAAAAACAATTTGAAAAATAATCATGCTGAGATGAAAAGTCATGTTTTTACAATTGGTAGTATTTTTTTAATTGATTGATATGGATGTACTATGCTGCCATGCTAAGGAAGAACGCCGTATGAACCTTTAGGCATTGCCAAATTCCCTTCTTATGAATATTTTTCTTCCAGTTTTTCAGATAATATTGTTTGCAATTTTACTAAAAGTTCCTGAATATTTCACAGAAAAATATTCATAACTTTCCTCCACAATAAGCATTTTAGTGAAGGAAATTTGGCAACTCTCGATTGTTCATATGGCGTTCTTCCTTAGCACGGCAGTACGCATGATTTTCATTTCTAAAATATCATAAAAAAATCAAACAAAATTCATTTCAGCATTAAATGAAAATATGGACATTCCGCCACTTACCTCCACTTGACATAAAAATGATTAAGAGCCTCAAAAAAAAAAAAAAAAAAAAAAAAACTACAAACGATAAAAGACCGATGAGTTTGAAAATAATTAATGGAAAAAATAATGATCAGAAGATACAGCAAGCTCCAGTAGTCAGGAAAATTAAAGCTCAAACTAGAAGAAATGAGTGATGGAAATTATTTCAAAGGATTAAAGTATAATATTAAAGCAAGGAAAGACTACACAATACACATCCTACCATTTACGTTTTGTGATTACCTAGACTTTACAAAACTTGTGAGGACAACTTTTACTGTTTCTGAGTATGTATAATTTTTCCTAGTGATCTATGATAGCAGTTACCTTAAGTCAGCAAAATTAAATTTTATGTTTTCAGCAAAATTGGACTAAAAAATGAAAGATGGTTGATATCATTAAACATACCATGCCAGATTTCAAACGTTCAAGCAGTTCTTTTTCTATATTTGTTTCTAAACGTGCTGCAACTAGCGCTTTCTCTTCTTTCCGCTTAGTTCTCCTTTCTATTTTCCGCTGCAGAGGAATTAATTTATTTCTGAAATCAGTGATTAAATACATAGCAATTAATAGACTGACAAAATTGATGTGGTAACAAACGTACTAAGTAACTTTAATCTCTTAAGCTATTACAGCTTAACCATACAGTGTAAAATCTAAATCAATACTTTTAAATATTTCACCACCACAAAGTCAACTGGCAAAGTTTCAGCAATCATGATATAAAAAAAAAATCTGACCTTAGACAAACAAAAACCATTTCAATTTCATCATTTTAGAATTCTACTTGTTATTAATTACCAGTGCATTGATTTGGCCGGAGAATGAGTGCATATGAATCAAACTTTGAGATAAAGAATTTATTTTGTCTACCAGCAAACTGCTCTGATTGATTGGCTTCCAATGTTACAGGTGGCTTAAGCCTTAAAAAATCACCAACTACTCAAAGATTGATACAACTTAAAAACTCTACATCAGAGAATGCCTGATTTTTCTCTTCTAGAAAATGATTGATAGTTTGTTTTGAACTGAGCCAGTTCAAAGAGGAGGAAAGTTCCGTTTTTCAATTTATTTTTTTAAATTTCAAGATCAACTTCAGCAATTACAGAAGGAGAGAATGGACCAATAGACAAGGTACGAGTTTAAGCATTCTAATACATGTTCCTTGACCAGAATTTCACGTAGAACACGATTCGCGCAACGAAAATTACCGAAATCAACTCCTTACAAAGATATCAACGTTTATATTTCACATTGGTTACGAGGAGTTTGAACTGCCCGCTCACAAGAAACTCAAAGCTCTACGTGAGTCAAATCGTGCACTAGAGCGGTTTCAGCAAACTTCTCAATCAAGCGATGTTCATTTCCCACCATGTGCTGTTCAAACTATAAACAACTTGCAATAGCTGAGCTAAAGCGTCAAGATTAAGGTTGCCAGATTTTTATATCGCAGAGATTGTCATGATCACGTTTAGCGCGCAATGTGAATCACGTAGAGTATTGAGTTTTCATGAGCGGGTGGTTTGAATTCACGCATCAAGAATCATTAAATATCTTTGGAAGGAGTTGATTTCGGTAATTTTCGTTGTGCGCATCGTATTCTACGTGAAATTTTGGTTAAGAAACATCTATCAGAATGCTGAAATTCGTACCTTGTCTAGTGGCCCATTCTATTGTAATTTTTTAGATAAAACATTGAGTATCAAGAGTAAGTTTTCATTCAAGTATTCAAATCTTTGGTCTCATTTCACACCTTTTTCTGACTGTGTCAAATAGATGCAAGTTGATTTTAACACTGTATTTTGCTTGTCGTAGGATTTAAGATACTGCAAAAACACCACAGAGGTTTCTTCAATAGTTTCTTTAATGAAAATAAAAAATGTCCACTCTTTGAACAAAGTAAGTAACTTACTGCGTGTACAAGTCCAGATCTAAGACTCAAGGACAAATCAGAGAAGAGGATTTATAGACAGGGATAAAAAATTTACTTACGTTCCTTTCAATTTAATTTCTCGCATACGGATTAAATATTGAGTGATTCTGACAAATCTTTGTTTGCATTTTTGTTTGATGAATGATGGCCAGAAAAGAAGGTTTTCATTTATCTGGTGAAGTGCTTTTTCAAAATTCTTGGACAGTTTAACCCTCTCCCATTGAAATCGAGGACTATGAACTCTAGAGATGAGGACAGAGACAAAAAATCATTAGACATCTGCGGTTACAAGCATTATTTTGAGTAAATAAGACATTGGTGATCTTTACTATTTGTGTACTCATGATTCTAGACAGAGTGATAATATACACAGAAGTAACAATTGAAATCCTTCTAATCATGGATAAACAAAATCACAGGGCTCAGAGAGATTGAGGGAAACATCGAAGCTTTTATGAAGTGCAAAAAGGAATGAGTTGCATAAGCGATTAACTGCAATGAGTACTCTGTCACTGAGTGCTTTTTCATCGTGCATTTTGGCCGTAATTTCAGTAGAGAGGTATGCACTAGAGTATGGTTGTAAATACTTAGATTCATGCAAAATAAAACATTCATAAAACTAGAAAAAATTACTTCACAGGGAATTTACTCAGAAGCGGACTGGCTCCTCGGAGCGGTCCGGGAAATTACCAACAGACTGGCCCATCGCAGTGCTGCAGTGAACTCCCCCCCCCTCCTCCAACCCAAATAACTTTTCGATATTAGTCAAATGCGTACCTAGGTTATTTTGCAAAAATTGCCTCAGTTAAGTTAGATTGCCAGAATTCATTTTCGTGTGAATGTGATTCCAAGAATATCTCCCTGGAAATTTTGCCACATTCGTGATAAAAAAATGCCCACTTTCTTTCCCTGGAAGTTAGCTAAGTTCAGCGTTTCACGAACGATAGAACGTTAAGAGCATTTTAACTTGAGAAATTTGCACTCGTAAATTATATTTTCACCGGAAATCATACAGGGTTGCGAAATCTCTACAATCTTGTGATCTTAAGACTGCAAGCTCGCGGTGTGCCCTGTTTGGAAAGGGTGTACACCAGGGTAGGTTCGACACCGAGAAAGTACGACTTTTCAACGATTTGAGCACACACTGTGCACGGAAAAAATTAAATTGCTGATTTAACAATTCACTTGCTAAAAAAGTGACTGCAATGTTTCAACGTAGATTTTACAACAAAAAATGCTACTATAACCACTATTGTAAGCTAATTTAACCCTGGGGGTGGTTAAAGTAGCATTTTTGTATTAAGAAATCTACATTGAAACATTGCAGTCACTTTTTTACGCAATTGAATTGTTAAATCAGCAATTTAATTTTTTCCGTGTGGGATAAGCGCAATGCATGAAGTATCTTACAGACTTGTAAGGTGCTCCTATGCGTTGAGCGCACTGTGCTGTAGGCGCAATGCATGAAGTATCCTACGGTCTCCTAAGGCGCTACTTACGCGCCAGCCTCGCGCCGCGCCGGCCGCACTGTGTTTGACGCGATTTTTCAAACTTGCGGCGTCAGCAGTCAACTTATGATTTTGAAGTTCTGGTACAGTTTGTTGGAATTATTGTCATTCCAAATAATAAAACATTACATAAAGGCCAACTAATTTTTTTCTCTTCATTTACATACTTTTATAAATAATTTTAGATAGAAGCGTGCAAATGAAACGACTTTTACTTTTCCTTCCTATGCAGATGTAGCATTGCCGATGCTGCGACGGAGAGAATCATGGGACCACAATGGCGGGTGCATTAACACTGAATCAGGCTTGGTCTCCTACTAACAGGGAGTCTGAGGGGTATTTGATACTCCTCAGTCCACAGGCTTTGACGATTTCGAGATGCAGATTTTTGATCGACTTCTGCGGAAGAATTTTGCTGTCCACTTTATTCCAGCACAAAGGACTTTCAAATTGTTACATTCAACAAATCCAGAATTTTTTTTATTTATCATTACTTATTCGATAATTTTGGTTGCAGTCATGTTTTAAAGGTTGCAACCTTTAATACTTATTAGCGCCATAAAATTTTTCAGAAGACCAGTCAAATTCATGCAGAACATCATGATTTGGGTCTCGGCTTCCTTTTTAAATTGAATCGGCCCAACATTTTTGGTTGTCTTACAAATTAGTAGGCCAGTCAGCTAAAGAAAAAATTGTGATTTGTGCCTTTAACCCACATTTCAAGTGATACGACTCAAATTTTCTGGCATTTCATAAATTTTCAGAGGGCTGGTAAAATTCATAAAAAAATCATGACCTGTGCCTCCGGCCCACTAGAAAACTGATATGATCCAAAATTCCTGGCGCCCTTGCAAACTTTTGGCAGGCCGGTCAGAGTCACGTATTTTGATTTGGGCTGCCGGTGGCCGGTCCTCTTATAATTTTCGTAGGGCCGATCTGATTTTGAGCCTCCTGCCCTCTTAGAATTTGTGTGGCCCGCTCATTTTCTACAAGTTCTCTCCTAAAATAAAGTGTACTCAAGCGCCCTTTTCACAACTCAGTGTCCTTGTTTCCTCTTGTTCTCTTAATTTTTCTTTCCTCCTTCCTTTTTTTTCCTTTCCTTCTTTTTCCCCTCCACTGGCAGTGTTCGAAACTCACAGGCGCCAACGCGCCTAAAAATCGGCCATGGCGCCTAAAAAATGAAAGCTCTACACAAAACGTGGCCCCTAAACATTGCCCCCTAAAAATCTGAATTTTCATATTAGGTGATTATTCGAAATTTCGACGCACGGCACCGGATTGAACTCGCAAAAAGCAATCAGTTGCGCCATGTTGAGCGCGCAATTTCGCCACGGCGCAGCGGTACTTTTGTCTTCCTCAAGTTACAGCTACTTACTAGTTCTGTAACGAAAACATCTTGCGTCTAACTTTTCACTAAATGCGCTGCAATATATAGGCAAAAAAAAGTCCGTTTGGCCCCTAAAAAATCTTCAATGGCGCCTAAAAATCGGGCTTGATGCACCACATGGCACCTAAAACTCAACAGTGAGTTTCCAACACTGTCCACTGGCCCACCAGGAGCTTCCCGATATCTTGGTGGGCCAGTCCTCCTCTGCATTCGCTTTTTCTCTGAAATAAGTTAAAATTAAATAAAGATTGTGAGGAAAAAGTGACTAAAATTACCGTTCGGCTGTTTTCATGTACAAGTAGATAATTCCTTTATCCTCCCTTACTGTAGCATATCGACTATTTGCTAATGGACATGATTTCCTGTGACATAATCCTGTCAAGTTATATTCATTTCGACAAAATTTTGATCCACCTATTGCTCTGTAATGAATAAAATCAAATGAGGTAAGACAATTATTGCACAACTGAACCTTTGACAATTTATCTTATGCATTTATGGATTTTGATAACAAGAAGTCTTTACTATCTTTTCCTCGGTTTAAGGCTGGGGCAGCATAATCTGGGGTACAAAAAGTTCTTGACACTAAAAAATTTAGTTTTACACACTAAAAAACACTAAAATTAGTTGCAATCCCAGCCTCAATGTTTTCTCTTTCTGTAAAAATGTCATAAGTAGACACCAAGCAAAAAAACTTCCGATATGCTTTTCGTTTTCTGTTTGTTCCTCTTCAGTTTTCCTTGAATTAAAAAATTTTCTCACAAGCTCACAGGATTCCTGACATCACACGTAAGTTCCGACATGAGCGCTTAAGCAATTTCTGCACCCTTCATAAAAAACCATCTTCTAGAATTATTTAGATAGATTTTGCTACGCTCTTTTGAGTTGAAATGAATATGAAGGTTACTTACGTTACTTTAAATGAACAGAACGTGTTGTTTATTAGACTCCAGGTAACCTAGAAAACAGAAGGAAAAGTTCTTTAACAGTAGAAGGAAAAGAAGTCAACACTATTTAAATAGGGGGGCTGGCCCCTCTAGATTTGAAAATAGTACAATCTGCCCCCCCCCCCCCCAAAAAAAAAATTCTAGATGATGGGGAAGAACCTTCGTCGAGGATGATTATCTCTCTTAATGTAGAATCTTAAATGAAAACGCCGTGTTCAATCAGTTAGTATTTTCTGAAATTTTCATCAGGGAAGCCTCAAAATGCGTCCAAATAGATTTAGAGTTTCAAAAGCTTTCCAAATTTATTGAATGCAACAATGCAAAAGTATTATTAACTGAAAGTAAAAAAATAAACAAAAGTTTTCATGGAAATTGATGGAAACTCTTGCAGGAGCCTAAAAATGCATCCAAATAGACTTAAAATTTCCCATGGGAGGCCCCCTACCCTCTTCTGGGGGGTATTCCACACCCTTCAG